CCCCAAAACCCCAAAACCCCAAAACCCCATGTCCTTAAAATTGAGAGATCCAAAGTATATAATTTAATTTAAGAAAATCAATCACAATTATATTCGATATTCATGAAATACTTTCATTATCGTTTGAGTTATAATCAGTTGCTTCAAAAGCTTAGGCATATCTTTAAGACATAAATGCTCCAGCTTTAAGCATTTCTATGTCATACTTCAATAGCTTGATCTCCTTTTTCTATTTTTTAATGAATTCCTCATAAGTATCTACTGACTTCTCTAACTCTAGCTTCCATTTCTTAGTCATCCTCTCTTACTATAGATACATATCATATGCTTTATGTTCATTTTCTCTGATTTCCTATTTCTTTCGAATTTCAATTCCGCTAAACTTATTCAATCTATCCTCACTATAGTCTTCTAATTCCTCTATTTTCTGAATGTATGACTCTTGCTTTTTCTTCAAATTTGCTTCAATATTCTCCTTATCTCTTAAAAGCCTATGATACTTATCCTTATATCTATTATAATCTTCTTTCACTCTTTCTATTTCAAACATCAAATCCTTCACCTTCTACTAATAATGCTTTAAACTCTCTGTTTTTTCATCTAGCTTGTACTCAAGTTCTTTATTTAACTCAATTAGAGTCAATATTTTTTGAGATTATTCACTCATATCTCTATCATAATTATCCTAGATTTACTAACTGCTGATTTAACAATCCTCATTAAGCATTCTCTTTTCTTCACTTATTCTCATTAATTAAAGTTTCAGCTATTTTATTTCCTCTTTTAGGTTAATTAATTCAATAGCTGACCTCTCTTACTGAATTCTCTCTAAATCTACCTGCTTATTTAGGTCTACAACCTCTTATTCTCTTTATCTAATGAGCTCCTCAAAATGATTTCTCTCTTAGCCCAATATTTTATTAACTCTTTTATTAAGAGAATCAGAAGTCTCTTACCTTTGTAATTCAAGATCATCTTTTAATTTTTCATTTGTCTCCTTTAATAACCTGAGTTTTTCTTATTCAATAGTAAATTTTCCCTTTTCTTACTAAAATCTGTCCTCCATTTCTCTGAGGATTCGCTCTCTTTCATCTAATTTATTAATTTATTACTCAGTTGTTTCAAGCATATCACCCATATAATCACAATCATTTTAAAGTTCCTTTATTCTGAAATTAAGCGAGATCTTCTCTTATCTCAATGTATCAATATCATTATCTTTATTTCCAAGTTGAATACACTAATCAAGCACCTTTTATTTGTATACATCTAATTCCTGTTATAATTGTCCATATTCTTCTTATTTAGCAAGTTGAAGCTCATCATAAGATTTCTGAACTCTATAAAGCTGCTCTACAATCTATTTTTGATCTAGCTTTTTCTAATCTATCTAAGCTGATAGCTCCATTTAAGAATCACTAAGAAATTTAATTTGAACCTTAAGGTTTTAATTGCTCTCTTTTAACACCTCAATTTCCATCTATGCAGACTCAAAATTCATTTTCATATTGTAATAATCATTTGATAGATTAATATTTTCACTCCTTATTTCTTTTATTATTTGATCCTTGTTTTTAATTTATTATTCTAATTCTTAAATGCTAGCTAGAAGTCTCTTATTCATGGTCTCAGTACTCTCACTAGTTTATCTATAGATTTCTAATAATTGTTTATTATCCTCTTTTTCTTATTGCAAATGCTGTCTTTCTTTGTTAATATCGTATTTTGCTTTTAAAAATTCTTCATTTATACTGTTATAGCTATCTTAGACTTATGATAGCTCAGTTTCAAAATAAGTTCTTTATTCATTATATGCATCTTCAAATCGCTAAAGTCTTTGAATCGCTATACTTAATTCATTTTCTAAATTTTAGATATGCTCCTGCTAATATGTAATGACAGGATCTATTTACTAAAAAATCTAAAAATCTACATCTGAGTTCATAATTATTGAGCTATTGTTCCCAACATTATTATTTTTCATTTTTAATTTCAAATTTTAATTCAAATTTTTTGTATAATTTTAACTGTTGGGGTTTTGGGGTTTTGGGGTTTTGGGG